GCTTGGTTCTAAGGCTCTGGGGACTGAACTCAGGTCCTCACGCTTTCGAGGCAAGCACCAGCAGACAGCTCTCCCTGTTCCTTGGTGTGAGTTTTCACAGACACATGGTCTTGCCATTCCTAGAACTCTGACCACACACACTTTACCCTTCCTTATTACTGTCTATGGTCAACCTGAACTTAGTGCTGGCCAAAGAGACTGCTCTGGTCGGGACTAAGGACCCCTGTTTAGGAGAGTAGTGTCTGCCACCTGTTACATGCAATCTAGTATCAAGCCAGCTGTTCCTCCTAAGTAGATATCGCCACTGAGGCTCTGATTAAAATGGCAATATCGTTCATTTTGCAAATGAGTGACATTAGGCTCTGAGAGGCTAAGCCATTCCTCTGAAGCCCTAGCAGACTCCTATTTTAGCCCTGCACTGCTAGGACTATCCTGGGAAGCACTGGTCCCAGGGTGTGCCATTTATGTTGGGCCTGGACTGCCAGGGGGCGTGGCCTGCTCTGGCTGGCAGGATGGGCTCTGTAAGCTGTGGGTGGCTACTGAGACAGGCATCACCTACCTTTTCTCTCTTGCAGAAGAGGAAACAGAGGCTGAAAGAGTAAGAGCCTTGGCCAAGGTCACAATGCTTAGAAGTGGAAGACACAGAAAGCTTCTAGCCCAGATTCTCTGCCTTCATATCCGGTACTATTTCCGGCAACCCACTCCCTGCCTGGGAACATCTGCTGGACAGATCTTAGTGAATGCCCTGGCAAAAAAAAATGGCCAGGGCCTCATTTCCCTGTGTGGCTGGATGGAGCTGTCTCTGTGGCTGCTGTTATGAAGTGTCTGTGTGTGCGTGCACGGGCGTGTGCTTGTGTATGTGTGTAATCTTTTGTCGGCACCAATTCCACCCGAAACCAAAAAGAGAATCACTTCAGTGCCGTCCGCTTTCCTTCCTTTAGTGCTGACATCTCACCATATCAAACGGCCTGTGCTTCAGAGGAGAATCATAATGAATGACTCAAAATAACTCCACCGAAGAAACATAGGTTTGATTTGAATCGCAGAGGGAGCGATTCCTTTTTAGTCCCGCCCCCCCTCCACCGCCCCCACTCTGCACTTCCTGGAGAAGGTTTGCAGAATCTGCAAGATCCTTCTAAGTCAAGAACAGCCAGGGCCAAAGGATTGATCTGAGCATCTACATAACCATCATCGATCCCTGTAAATCAAGACCACTCCCAAACACCGCCTAAAGCATGGGATGCATGGTGTTTCCGACATCCTGTTATCCGAGGCCAGAAAGAAAGGGTATGGTTTTCCTATCCTTATCCTGTCTTGGTGAGCATCTCGCTAGGGTCGGAGTGGTCCACATAACCATGCAAGCCTATTACAAGTTGATTCATTCATCATCGTGTTGCCTGTCAATCAAGACAGCTCTTAAAAGCCAAGATGCAGATTGAATCAATATGCCCTGATCTGATTAGATTTCAGTAGAGCTCCATACATGGATCCCCAAGGAAACTGAGGGCCATGAGGGTATGTTTCTGTAGAAACCTTACTTGACCCACATGTTCTACAAGTGAAGCTGAAATCTCCAGAAAAAACCTAGGCAGGCACAGGCCTCCCCACACGACCATTCACTTGCAATGCAGGTCTGCGGGCTTGACAATGCCTCTGTGGAGCACCCCAGCCAAGTTGTGAATTGCCCGTTCTCTTTCTGCTTGGAGAAGAGTTCTATTCAGCCAAGCAGCCAATGGGAGCTGAGATGATTAATAAAAGCCCGTTTCTTTTAAGTGTCATTTTAAGTATTGTGGTCTGACTGCCGCTCGGTGACTGCGCCGATTTGAACAAAGCCAGCTTGGAAGCCTAAAATGAATGTATTACTCGGCTTTATCGACACAATGTGTTCTGAGGCTGCAAGCCAGGCGATGATGCCGGCAGCTGGAGGGAGGAGAGTGGGTCATGAACGTGGTGATATGCTGGGGCTGAGGGGAGAGTGACTGTACCCAGGCTTGACATCCTAGGCAAAATAAGGCCATGGAAAGTTCTGGAATTTTTACTTCCCTAAATCCCAATGTGGGTTGGTTGGCTAAGTGCTGAAGACTGAACAGTACTCTGCTGTGGCCGAACCTCGAGATACCGGGTTAAGAGCGAGCGAGCAAGCGAGCGAGCGAGCGAGCGAGCGAGGCTACTTTAAGTCGGACGGTCCATGAGGGGAGTCAGCGCATCAATGGAGTTGGGAGGAAGTGACCAGAACCTCCTGGCTTCATCCTTTACCCAGACTGCTTCCTCGTTGTGCTTCTCTTTCAATTGGAGGGAACCAGCCCACTTTCAATATCACCTTCTCCCTACCCTCTTTCCACGCGCGTTCACATTTGACCCACTTCCCCCTTCTATCCAAAGACTCGGCCCAATTCTCAAGCCTTCTCCCCCACAGTTCTGACCCAATTCTCTCACCATTTCCACAAAGACATGACCCAATTTGCCTCCCTCCTTCCCCCATGGCACATGCCATCATCCCCCCACTCTCAGCGCTCACGCTACAGCCTCAACCTCACTTCCACCCCCAGGCTCCTCATTCCACCTGTTCCTTCCTGTTTCCCGGCATAGACTGGAGCTGGACCAGTATTCTTCTCCCCAAGGCCACAACCCCCCCCCCCGCCCCCTCCAGCACAGGGAAGGCCCAGCTTCACTTTGGTACAGCCTCCATCCTCCCAGGTGTGTTCCCATAGATCTGACCCAATTCCCTCCCTTCTCAAACCCTGCTCCCACCATGGACCTCGCCACACGCAGCCTCTTCCCAAGGACACGCCTGGCAGGTCACTGCTGAAATGTCAAGGCCACTCACAATGCCAGTGTTCCCAATTACAGTTCGCAGCCCAGCCCTGCGCCGGCAATTACCGCCGCACCTGCTATGGCCAGAGGAAAATATGGCGCAGCTGACTATGCCTTCAACCGAGATTCTGTTATTAGGTTATTTTTAAAGAAATCATTTTGTTGGCTGCCTATCTATCAGCGCTTGCATTTTTTTTTTTAAAAAAATACAAACGATTTGTGATTAGTTATGGCTCAGGTCCTTTGTACGAAACTCATGGAAAGGGGCCAACGCCCCACCCAGAGCCCTTTCTCCTCACATGCCCACATCAGGAGGACTCTTTAAGAGGCGACTGGAGATGGCTTTCTGTGGCCTTCCCATTAAATAAATATGTGTCAGTCATCACAAACGATTTTAATTGACCCACAGTTAGAAAGGCTACCAAGCAAGTTTGTTAAGCACTGTCACTTTCAGGGACTGACGTATGCAGATGAGCATGGAGTGGTGGAAACCGCTGGAAGGGAGACCGGAGGGGCTTTGTGGTATTCCCATCATCTCGCTCACAGATTCCTCTCTCTGCAATTGCCTGTGTAGGTGATGGAGACAGAGTGACTGACTGATCCCTTCTCACCAGAGTCCAGGTGACACTCAGGGTGGGATTAAGATTAAAAATTGTGGCTGTTTGGGAAAACGCAGAGTTTTCCCCCTAAAATGAAGTGATTGCAGATGAGAGGTTTTGGATATGGCAAAGAATTATTCTGAGTGTCCATTATTGTGATGACAGCAGTTCCAGTTGTTGTAGAAGCCATCATCATCTTCTTCATCTTCATCCCAGTCATCATTACTATCATCACGCTCAGAGAGGCACCACCTTGATCACCATCATCACACTGGGAGGTACCACCTTCATCGTCATCACACTCAGAGAGGTACCACCTTCCTCATCATCATCACAATCAGAGGTACCACCTTCATCATCATCACACTCAGGTACCACCTTCATCATCATCATCATCATCATCATCACACTCAGGTACCTCCTTCATCATCATCACACTCAGGTACCACCTTCATCACACCTACCACATCTTCACCTTTCCTCTTCATCTACACCAGCTCCTTTACTTATGAATGAAGTCTTTGAAAATAATAAGGATGGAAAATAGAAAGTGTATTCCCTATTTATTTCATCTCATTTTTTGAGATGAAATAACCTTGTATCCCAGGCTGGACTCAAACATAATACCTAGTCAAGGTTGACCCTGAACTTCTGATCTCCTGTTTCCACTGCTGAGGTGCCAGGATTACAGATTTTTACCACCATGCCCGGTTTCTAGGTAACACCAGGGATTGAACCCAGGGCTCTGTGTTTGTTAGGGGAACGCTCTACCCACTGAGCCACATCTCAGCTCCCTTGTTCTTTCTTTTTATCTGTTTTCTCTATGGATATGCTAGCTGCTTGTGGTTTAGCAACTTCCCTTCCCTTCATTTTTCCTTGCCCTTCAGCTCCTCCCTTGCTTTCTTCTCATCCCTCCGTCTCCTTTGAGACTGTCTCAACCCTGTGGCCTCTGAGGACACACCGCACACTTGCAAAGGACCCGTAAGTCATGCAGATCCTGCTTGCTAGAAACGACGTGGAGAAGGGCAGCCGAGGCAAGGAGCATTTCTCTGTACTCACAATCAGACATTTCCATCTGAGTCGACAGTCATTCGGAATGGATGCCAGGCCTTTCACAGACAGAGCTGCCCAGTGTTCACTCCTTCAGTGCTCACTACGTTAATGCTGGCCCTCAGCTTTCAGGCAGTGAGGAGTCAAGTCCACAGTCTGGGCTTTCCCTTCAGGACATGCCCACTGCTTCATTTTGTTTGTTTGTTTGTTTTTATCAAATTTTGACATTGATGGACTTTGGTGCTGGGAATCCATTTGTGGATCTGAGTTTAATACCCAGCCCCGCTGATGACTCATTTGGGAAAAAAAAAAAAAAAAACAAAACTGTGATAATATCACCTGACTTCTTTGGGTCTTGCTTTCTCATCCAATCAGTGAGAATTCCACCATACAGCATGGGTGAGAAGCCAGTGGAATATGGTCTTTACGTTAGTGCCTGGAGTTGAGCCCATGGTCGGCGCATGCTCACGGGATGCTTGCTTCTCCCAGCATGTCATCCAGAGGGGCACCTGAAGCCAGAGAACCGGCAGTGCTTGGATGTCTGTGGAGGGCAGGTATTCCTGGGAGGTATCCTGTACTCCCTTGTCCACTCACTGCTGCATAGGCAAGGGACTCTGATTTACTCCCCTGGTCCACATTAAACATCCTTGGGGTGAAGTTCAACACCCCAAGTCCAGAGCTTCCTTTATGTGTGATGGGGAAGGGACTCTAAGTGATCCAGTCAGAGCAAAGGGTGGGAAGGGGATGAAGGCAATGACATGCTCCTCCAACCCTCCTGCGCTGTTGACATCCAAGCTTGTGGGGAATGCTACTTGGTCACCCCCATCTTCTTACAGGGTACATCTCTGCCTCAGTGGAAGGATTCTGCAGCTGCCGGCTTGTGGGGCCCACCCTCTCGTTACTCTGCTCATCTTTACCTCCCTCAGCCATCGAGGGCGGTTGATAATTGCATTCGGGAACTGCAGCCCAGGCAGGGAAGGAGGCAGAATTCCCGAGTGATCGGATGTCCTTTTAAAAACTTCAAGAGTGCTCTGAGACAATTCGCTTGTCTCCACAGATGGGGGAAGTTCCTACAGCTTGGCTCACACCTGGGGAAGAAGTGGGGCCCAGACTCTGTGCTGGAGCCAGGGAAGTGGACAGAGGATACTTCAAACCCAGTCTCCACCTCTGCTTGTGAGCTGTGCAAGGGGTTATATCTAGTCTCTTGGCTACTCAGTTCCCCCATCTTCAAAGTGAGATTTTAAAGGCGGGTCCACATGGTTGTAGTGAGGATAAAATAATATAAAATTATATATATATATATGCTTTTTTTCTTTTTGAAGCGTTCCTTTCTCTTTGTGTTTCTCCTTCTTCCCAGGTTCCTGGATCTAGATTTTTAGAAATGCTGGTGGCTCAGAGGTGGGATGCTGGAGCCCGGTGACCTTGGGGAGATGGGCAGGAAAAGAACCCCACAGAAGTTGGATCGCATACACAATGATGGCAACATGATTATGTGGGCTTATTATTAAACTGTAAAATACATGATACCAAAATAACAGCAATTGTATGGGAAGCCAATGGGCATTTATTGCTAATCTCTGGTTTGTTTGTGACGACTGCCCTAGTTTATAACTGATGCTCAATCACGCAGTTATTAAAAAGAAGACGCCCAACTTGACAAGACTGACGATGGTGATACATCTTCCCAGCATGGGAGGCTCTCCCCTAGCTTTTAATTGAAGGAAAGCTATGCAAGTGTTTTCCCCTCATTTTTAAAAAATTCTTTCTTTCTTTCCCCCTTTCAGACCATCTGTCCAGCTATTAAAATCTCATCAGCATCATTGTGAGAGTACTTACTTCCCCCAGACTGTCATCCCAATGGGGGCGCCTGGAGCCAGTGAGCTCGGGGCACTAGGGTCCCTCTGAAGGGCAGGCATTTGCTCTGTGCTCTTGTTGGGAGGTATCCCATTTCCCTTCCTGGCTTCTGAATGCTAAATCGACAAGGGACTCGGTGATTTATTTCCCGGCCCCACATTAATGCCCAGTAATTAGTTTATAGCCTTCCTAATGTGTGGACACGTTCTGTGGTGGACGAAATCATGATGGCTCTTGTCAGCGGGTTAGGGTCTAACAAGACAGTGCTTGATCTGTGGAAACAGCCCTCTTGGGGTGAAGTTCAACACTCCAAGTTCAGTGTCTTCTTTATGGATGATGCAGGAGGGGGGATGCTCATGAACCTAAGTGGTCCAGCCCGGATGAAGCTCAGGAAGGGATCAAAGCAATGGCCCCTGTTCTCTTAGGCACAACACCTGCGTTGCTATCATGCTAGAAATGTC